AACTGGTAGCACGTCCCGTCGAAGGGGAACCGGAGGTACTTCTTGAACTCGGGGTGCATTGGAACATGGAGGTATGCGTCTTTGAGATCGATTGACGTAAGCCAATCCCCTGTCTCGACGGAGGAGATCACTGACCTGAGTGTCTCCATCCTGAAAGACGGCACCTCCAGTAACTGGTTCAACCCTCTGAGATTCAGAATGGGTCTGAACCCTCCGTCCTTTTTGGTCACTAGGAAGTAGGTGGAATAAAACCCCTCTCCTTGCTGACCCACAGGAACCACCTCGATGGCTGCCTTGTTCAGTAAGGACTGAACTTCGGCACGGAGCGCGTCCGCCTTGTCGCGGGAGGTCGGCACAGGCGTGTGCCGAACCCCGGAGAAGGACGGAGGATCTCGCCTCCACTGTGGCAAATGGCCATCCCTGAGCGTGGACAGGACCCAGGGATTTGAGGTGGCTGCCTCCCACTCCCGGAGGAATAGGGACAACCGGCCGCCGACAGGGACGTGTGGCATGAGGCAGTGCACCCCCACAGTCGGCAAGTCTCCGCTTGCGTGAGTGGGGGGCAATAAGGGCTCTGGGGAAGGAATCAGCGGGAAGCCGGGGCTGGCTTCCCCCTGCCCCGAAAAGGCTGCTGCGCTTGAGCAGGCCTGCCCTTGCCTCTTGCGCGCCTGCTCCGCTTGGACTGCAAAGGGGCAGTCCACTTTGCAGCTTCCTTCGCCGGGGCAGAAGGATAAGCGGAAGCAAGCGGGGAAGGCCGTGGGCGAGGGACGGAGGGCTGCTCCAACAAAGGCTTAGAGTCTTTGAAGGTAGATACAGCCTCCGCGGCCTCCCGTACAACCTGCAATGCCCCAGGGAACAGGGAGGACCCCATGATATAAGGCAATGACAGGAGGGCCTGTTGCGTGGCCGGCGAATACCGCGCCACGGACAATCACAGGCGGAGCAAGCCCATAACGGCACCCATCATCTGGCTGGCACAGCACCGAATGCTATCCCGACCCAGATGAGAGTAGACACCCGTTAGCTGCCTCGAGCACCGGCGCCGACGAGTCGGCGCCACAAGCGCTTTGATTCACCAGCTGTCCCTGCAGAGCAGACAGGTAGGCTGAGTGGGCGGCCACTTTCAATTGCTGTGCTGCGCACCGGTAGCACTCCTCGAAGGACCGGTACGCAGACTTCAGCGTAAGTGAATTATTAGGAAAAGGGGGGAGGCGCCTGCCCTGCCTGGCCGAGGCCAGGGAAGACGAGGACGACCCCCCTAGAGTGACGGAAGCAAAGACGCACCCGTCTACCACTGGCAGCTCGAACAGCGCCTCCTCTCCCAACTGGTACCGCTTGCCGACGTCGGGCAAATCAAACCGCGTGCGTGCACCAGTACGTCAAGAGAGGATTGACCACCTCACTCACCAGTGATGGCAGAATGCGGAGGCGTGCCTCGGCGACCCGGCTAGGCACGAAAGCCTCCCCCGGGAGCCGAAACTCCGCGGGGTCGGGCGCCTGTACGGTAACGGCCACCTGAGGCAGGATTTCGGCGATCTTATCCCGAACCTGCCGCAGGGACGAGCCAAAGGAGTACAGAACTCCCACCTCCGACTCCTCCCTCCCCTCATCATCCTCCATATCCATCTCGGCACAATCCTCGGCCGCCGTACTCTCATACTCCTGAGAGACCGCCGAGGATACGCCAGAGGCTGAACAAGAAAGACTCAAAAGGTCAAGAGGCGCCAGAGGGAAAGAGTCGCCCTGCCGGCTGGAACCCACACCAGGTCGCCGAGGCACCCGAGAGGAACCTGCCGCAACAGGTTTCCCGGGCAACCCAGACTGGCAGCCAGGCGCCGAGGTATCCCCGAGCTGGTCGGCGCCTAGGCGACCGCCAGTCAGGGCACCAGGCGAAGACAGGGGTAACCCTGTATGGCCTGCGCCAGGCACCTGTGACGGACCTGAGCGTGAAGCTAGGTCGCCACCAGGCGCCCAGGGCGCGCTTTCCCCACGGCCTAAGCCGGGATCAAGCTGCCCGGGGGGAGGCGCATTCTCCGAGCCGAAGCTTGGGCCGCAGCCAACCCCCCCAGATGTGTCCGATCCACCCCCGACGACCGGCGCGCTGAGCTCCTTATGGAACCCAGCCAACGCTGTATCGATCAGGGATTTCACTGACGACATCTGTTCCTGAATCAAAGCAGTTAAAGAGGCAACAGGTACAATGGGTGCCGATACAACAGGGGGGGTGGCGGAAACAGAGACAGGGGCAGGTTGAGATATAGAAGGAGCATTAGTTTTTTCAGACGAAGCCTCCTTGGTAACCTTAGCTCTTTTGGGAGCCGGCTCCGTATGGGAAGCGGCTCCCACAGACCCCTTTTTTTGGCTATGTGAACGCTTGGATGGGGGATCCTGAGCCCAGATATCACCCCCTGCCCGAAGCAGGTTGCTGTAAAACAGCCGGTCCACCCGCCTTGCCTTAATGGTTTGAGGCGTGAAAATCGCACACGCCGGACATCCCTCTTCTTCATGATCAGTCTGTATGAGACATCTTAAACACACCTCGTGTGCGTATCCCTGACGGGAATGGCAGCAAGGCACGAAGTACAGGATTTAAACTGCAACAAGTAAAAAACCTGTGCAGCAATCTACCCCATACACACATACATATATGAAAAAACACGCATGGGCGACACAACTAATGCGACAAACGTAGCATACAGTTGAATCTCTTCTCTTTCTTTTCTCTCTCTTTTTCTTTCTCTTTCAATAACCAGCAATACGCACTGCAACATAACTAACAATTACGACTTTTGGAGTAAGATAGAAAATGCTAGCAGCGGAAATGACGCCCTACATGTAACAACATATAAATAAAAATTACTATAACCACCCGTAACATTGAAAAACCACACGGGAAACCAATGAACAGGGAGGCTAGCGAAGGGACCTGTCCGCCATCTTGACACGCACCCGGCGAGCCGACCGCGACAGGTACCAAGTTACAACTAGAAATTATGAATGAAAAAGTTCAGAACAAGTCTCCAAATCGCCCATGCAGGGAAAAAAGAGAACCATACATACAGTTGCTGTTTCTGAGACACTCATCATTCGTGTAGGGAAATGAAACCTTCTTGGAATGGACCCACGTCTTGCCAGTAAACGACAGCATGGAAAGTGAGGTACGAGGTTACAGTCTAGAGTTACCTGCTCTTGGCTGTAGGGGGCCGGAAGGCCCTGTAAGGTAAGGGTGGTCTCACAAGACAAAACGTAGTTTTTGTTTTGTAAATATTTTTTATTCAAATATTGTTACAACTGTCGTAGGGATTTTAAATGGACATTTAAATGCTTATAAGTACCCCAAAGAGGAATATATAAAAAAGAATCAACAAAATTTGTACAATACTACATAATAATTATAACCAAAAACCATACACAGCTAAATTTTTAAGAATAGGCCTAAATATAAACGTTAAAATTGCCGTATACGGGACTCCAGTGCTCGTCCAACCATCCGCTTGGGCGAAAAGGGAGAGAGTGTGACAAGTCTGGGCACGTCACATGGTACATTTGAGCGGGAAAGAGGAAGGGAGGTAACTCGTGGGTGAGTATTGTACGTCCGCTTCGGGAAATTCAAGGGATTCAAGTGTTTCACTACCATTCGAAAGGGAAAGGGAGATAAGCAAAGATCATCAGTCAGGATAAGGAAAAATAGAGCATATCAGTGATCACAAATATCTGTATTTGTATCTAATCACTCATCATCATTCTAAAACATTGCCAAGAACCCCAGAATCATTTAGAACAAGTATTGTCACTAAGGTGACATAATCCCGCAAATTATCAAATCAAACTTAAAAAGTAATGAAAGTTTAAGATGAAGTTAAATGTCAACAAAAACATGACCAGTCAACCTCTCTTGATATCTTGCTCTTTAGTGGTTCAAACACGCAAACATTCCCTAGATGAAGCTTGGTGTCAAATATGAAGAAAATCCAGTGAATGGTTCTTGAGGTATCTCGCTGACAAGCATAACATGCAGGTCACCATGACCTTGAAAATTATGTGAAGGTCACCCAAATCGACTAGGCCCTGCGCCTTCCCTAGATAAAGCGTGGTGTTGAATATGAAGAAAATCTAGCGAACGGTTTTTGAGATATCTCGCTGTCAAGAGTAAAACGTTAAAGTCCCCTTGTGACCTTGAAATTAAGGTCAAGGTCACCAAACCTGACTTGGACCTTACTTATACTCTGATGAACCTAGGTACCAAATATGAAAAGAATCTAGTCAACGGTTCTTAAGATATTCCAATTCGTACGGACGGACGGAGCCTAATACTATATCCCCCACTTTGCGCTAAACGCGCGGCGGGGGATAATGATATGCAAACACAAACCCAGGAGCATTTTTTCTTATTTTCAGAGGTCGAGTTGTCTATGTTTTCAGGACATTCTTGGGAAGATTGCAGTAGCAAGAATTAGAGAATTACATATAGATACTCTACAAAGATTTGGCAAATTCAACAGTGTGTGCCACCATGTGGAAAATTATGTACAAGGACAATAGTTTTATCAGTGTTTTTGACCATTTCTCTTTAAAATCAATATTTCACAGGTTGTCAGAATGTTTCTGAATTCTTTTATGCCCATGATCTCTGAATCAAATGACACTTACACAATGAGGTGAATATGGGAATAATAGGACAAATATATATTAGATACAACCATCCATTTTGATATTACTTCCTTTTATGTGGTAGAATTCCATGTTCACTTATAATTGGTATTTTACATATACACTTGTGCTGGAACTGTCTATTTCTTTGGGAACATTTTTAGTTTTGTTCATGCATTGAATGTAGGATACATATAAACATACAATCCATTTGATACAGAAATATGTTAAAAACATTAGGCAGTGATTTGTTTGCTCACAGTTTGCACATAGCTGTTAAATAAATAAAATTGTTGCAATACTGATTGCTTGATGGCGTTGATAAATACTATCTAGCAATATCCACTTACTGCTGGCACTGCTTGACACTTTAACTGAAGTTATTCTAGGTGCTCGACTTGTCTCCTCAGATTTTGCTGTAATGATAAATGAATACTGAATTAACTTTGGAAATACTAAACTTTGGAATAAAGAAATAATATCACATGTGCTCGGTTGCAAGAAGAGGAAAAGGTCTCCATTACACTGGCTTTATATTCTTGTTCAAGAACCACATCTTCATCCTGTTAGACATAACCTCATGAAGATAAGACTCACATTTTGCTTTGACCTTGCTGGGAACACTGACTTTACTGGGGTCATAGTCCTCGCAGCCAATACAGCCCGGACAGGGGGGTTTGTTTTCATACAGGTAGAATGACTCTGGCAGCAGGTACTTTCTGGCTCTGGCCTTCTGTTCCTCTGTTGCCTCCTCAATATACAGGGACTGCACATCTGAAGTGTCTCAGAGACAGAACCAACAGTCAGACATGAAATAAAACTGGATTCATTCATCACTGGCAAAGTCCATATTTTTAAATCAGTTAGTGAAAGACATTTTTTTTCAGAACTGTAAGGTCATAAATGAAAATATAATTTATGGATGACGAAGGTGGTGAACCACAGCCTTCAGACTAATTTTTTTTTTTGACAAAAATTCCAAGGAGACACTTCCCATCCCACCAAATGTACCCTAGGTTCACACCCATAACCCCTACATGCCACTACCCCTACACTCCAGTACCCCTACAGCTAGTTAAAACAACACCTAGCATTTACCTGTCTGATATAATAGACTAATCCTAAAGAGGGATTAGTGCATGGAGCATAGATGAGATCAAGGGATGCATAAATGTGATTAGTCTTTTGTGGCAAGGAAATTAGTGGTCTCATGATGAAAACAAACCTCAACCCTGAGTAGAAGAAACATACAATTGGAAAAGTGTTGTGATTGCTAAATGTTGTTAAGAAAAGTTGTTATAGTGCACTTTAATGTTACATATATTACAATGTTGAGAAGTTGAGAGAAATAAAACGTGGAGATGATACAGGAAATTGAGATTGTTCCATACAGTATATAAGTGCTGACATGAAACAAACATGGCATCAACATGGCTGGTCTTCGCAATGTTGAGTTTGTTATGTCACGGAGAGGTAGCCGTCAAGTTCTGTTGGATGGATATCTTCACACTAAGAATGTTGAGCGACAGACCTGTGTACACTGGAAGTGTGTGCAGTCAACATGCAAAGGAAGAGTCACAACTGTTGGCGATGTGGTAAGAAATACGACTGAACACAATCACCCACCAGAGGATAGCCAGAAGGTCCGGTTTGTCAGCAACCTGAGGAAGAGAGCCAGGGAGGAGTCAATACCGATGCGCACCATCTACAACAACGAGCTTACCAACCTGACTGATGACGAGACACGTACCATGCCCTCCTTTCCATCTGTTAGCAGTGCCCTGTACCGCCACCGCCAGAAGACGATTCCTGTCTTACCACAGACGAGATCAGAAGTCGACCTCCAAGATCCCTGGACGCAGACAGCAGATGGTAGACCATTCCTCCTGTTTGCGGACGGCCATGACGACAAGATCTTGGCCTTCGGAACACAAGAGAGTCTTGAAGCCTTGCAGTCAGCTGACAACCTCTACATGGATGGAACTTTCACAGCCTGTCCTGCACTGTGGAATCAAGTATACATCATCCATGCAAGACGTGGCAGCTCAACATATCCCCTCATCTTCGCCCTTCTTCCGGACCGCCAGACAACAACCTACTCCAGACTCTTCCGATTGCTCAAGGATGAAGTTCAGCAGAGACTCAACAGACCGCTTGATCCTGCCTGCATCCAGACCGATTTTGAGCTAGCAGCAATCCACGCCATAGAAACAGAATTTCCCACTGCTGACGTGAAGGGCTGTTTCTTCCATTTCTGTCAAGCCATCTGGAGGAAGGTTCAGGATCTTGGACTAGCTGTTGCCTACAAGGAAAACCCCGAAGTCACCAAGTGGATCAGGAGAGCAGCTGGACTACCTCTACTTCCTCAAGCCGCGGTCCAAGACACTTGGATTGAAGCCATGGATGACACTCCTGACGTCCCAAGAGCTGGCGACTTCAACGACTACATCGTGACAACATGGGTCGACGACACTGCCAGATTTTTTCTTCACCTGTGGAACCACAACTTGACAGCTGGGCCGAGGACAAACAACAACCTGGAAGGATTCCACAACCGTCTGAATCGAGAAATTCCACACAGGCACCCGAACATCTACAGATTTGTAGAAGTCATCAGGAGAGTCGAACACGCCGAGAGAGTGAGGATTGCTCAGATTGACTTTGGTGCTGCGCCAACAAACAGAAAACGAGTGTACAGAGAGATCGACAACCGTCTGTGCAGACTCAAGGAACAGCTTCAGCGTGGACAGAAATCCCCTCTTCAGTTTCTTGACGCCGTCGGCTACCTGCTCAAGCTTGGATAGACTGTAACACTGACACTTGAACACTTGTGATAATGTAATAATGTGGTCTTTCTCTCATCCTGATATGTTGATATGAAACACTTGTGATAATGTGATCTTTTGTTCATCCTTATATGATGATATGAAAACACTGAATGTAAATAGACTGAAAAACTTGACAATTATTGATCTCAATGTGTGATGTATTAAGGTCACACTTTTGATAATGTAATAATTTGGTTTTTCTCTTATCCTGATGTGATATGAGATGAGATGATTAAAACACTGAATGTAAATAGACTGAAAAACTTGACAATTGATCTCAATGATGTGGTACTTTGTGATAACACATGTATTAAAGTCACTTTTAAAATCTGTCTTATGTCATGTTGTGCATCTTAAGTGGACCAGTCCACTGTATGGAATAGGTAACAGGCAGGAGATTAGTTATGCAACAGACCATAAACTATGTTGTTATAAGCTGTAGGGGTAGTGGCATGTAGGGGTAATGGGAGGTTACCTGTAGTGAAGGTGAGCATAACACCTACAGGCCTGGCGTCTCAATGTGAACGGCCACAAGTATATAATTTAGCTTAGTTTCAAGTTCATTAGGTTTCAGCATGCAACTGGCAAACTGCTCCGTACTAGTGCATAGCACAAGTGCCACCAAATTCTAATCCGATGGCAAAAGAACTAAACACCTAAAGCATAAATAAGATTGCTTTGCTACATTTACTAATCCAACATCTAAAACACAATTCCAATATAATCTTCAAATTCTATTTCATAAACAGAGGTAGGCCAATGTTCAAAAGAGTTGCCATTGTAACAATATTGTGTTTTTAATGCTTGCAAGAGAATAGCAACATCAGAAACACCACTACTTTCACAAGAATTTAAAGAAAAGCCCATCAACCTTATTCAAATCAAGACAGGCTAAAACCTTAAGGGCAAGCTATGATGCATACAAATTAATTGGGAAAGACAACAATACTACATTTCTATTATCAGGGTATTGTCAGTCGCACAAACATATATAGGGAAAAGTACTGGGGCTAGCACTTTCCATCTGGTTGAAGAAAGTACTGGCTCCACAAAACAGGCAAAATAAACGTTTATCTTCCAAGGGATATTTCAATTCATGTGCTTTCAACACAATGCACACCAACAACATCCATATCATGAAAATAACAGATCAAAAGTGAGAAAAATATACTGAGTGAAAGAATTTGTATGGAACACTCTCAATATTAGCTTTAATATACACAAATAGTCAGAAACAGGTTAATTGGCATCACATTAGCAATTCCAGAATGTTTCATATATAGGGAGAATAATTGATACATTTCACTTGAAAAGATTTTTTGGCAGTGATGTTCATTGTACACGAAACATACCACTTTATGGATGTCAACTTCTTGTTTATTGCATACAGCGACTTTTAGCTTGATAACGGTGTAAGAATCTACATCTAATCGTTGCTCTATGCAATAAACAAGAAGTGGTCATCCATAAAGTGGTATGTTTCATCTTTTGTGTATCTGCGTAAATTACGCAAATATTTATATGAAAACTCAATTCCTATTAAGTCTATTGCGTACAAGTACGCTTGAATTTTTGTAAATACTCAATAAATGTGATCTTACATGCGTACACACAAAAATGTCAAATCGTTGCTTGCGTACCGGTGGATAGATAAAATAACTGAAGTATATTGAGAGGTTCTATTTCAGGGGGCGGTGGAGTAGTCTAGTGGTTAAAGCGTTGGCTCGTCACGCCGAAGACCCGGGTTCGAATCCCCACATGGGTACAATGAGTGAAGCCCATATCTGGTGTCCCCCGCCGTGATATTGCTGGAATATTGCTAAAAGCGGCGTAAAACCAAACTCAGTCAGTCAGTCAGTCTATTTCAGGACGTGAACTTGACAACTTTCTTATCGTTTCCCATATTGCAGATCAAATGTAAATCACAAACACTAACATTTTAACTTTATTATATTTTTAAAATTAATGGAAAATTGCAAAATACCTAATTGAGTTTGAGTGAGGTGAGGTGAGTACAAATTATTTCGTTACTCAAAGGAAAATTAGGATACCCAATTGAGATGAGGATAAGGGAGTACATAACTCAATGACCCCAAAAGTTATCTGTAGCTCTGCACATTACATCTCAAGTTACCAGAAGACCAGTGTTGTGTGTGACGATCCACATACCGTGCTAAATCCTACTTGGTAAATAGTTTTTGCGAGCTGTATTTGAAGGTGTCTTGTGTCATCAGCCTGTTGAATGGGTTTGACACCAGCAGGACAGCTAGTGACACACACTGTCACGTGGGTATGACACCAGCATTGAGAGGATTCAGTGTCACTGAGATAGTAAGACTAGCTAAGTGTTTTCCATGGACACACATCATGATTCTCCACTTGCCTACGAGGGCAATGATCATCATGATGAAGTTAAATTGAAAATCTTGTAATGTGTCTGTGTTTAGTTGCTATGTAAACATTGTAAAACTTCACATACACAAACAGTCTCTATTCTTCATCAACATCCCTGTGTTCATAGTGTTCTGGGACACTTACACTCTCAAACAGAGGCACACTAGATACTTGCCATGATCATACATGATGCATAAGAACAATGTAGCCAATTAGTTAGGCTGGCTAAAAGGACTGATAATCAATTTGAATATTGTCTTTGATAACATCGCATATAAACTTGAACGATTATTGATTAATATCACTGAAGTAACCTTGAGCAATAATGCTAAAACATCTGAAAATCAACATATTTCATATCACTGATGTGTGTGGTGACACATTATCCATGGATTACCTGCAAAGACAGTATCCTGAACATTACATAGAAGTATCTCATGAAGATCTAACTTTGTGGATTGTGTGAGTAAATTAAAACATATTTCATTACTATATATTTAGTCCAAGATTATTAATCTCTGTGATCTATAATTAAGGCCACCCCGACCAATTAGTCACTGTTAACAAGTTTAGTATAAACATTCTATAAACTAGAGAATTATCTGCCATAAGCAATTCCATTTGCCACAAAATTAAAACAGTGGTGAAAATTACATAAACAGATCCAGGCCTCCAGATAAGATGCGCATCTGAGTAAAATATGCATAGGTAATTCAGATATACGCATAAAAAGTCAAGTCAAAGAGTGAAAGATACGCATAACTTTCTCAGAATACGAGTCAGATTTTGTTTACATGTGTAAACCAAAATTGTCAAAATATTGTTTCAGTCTTACACATCTGATCTTAAGAATTCGAATAGTGTTGCTAGTCTCTATTGAAGCGAAGACTGTCTAGTTTTTCTGAATGACGACCGCTATCATTCCTAATCCACGTTCGGGGCACAATTTGTTTAAAACCTAGCCCTTAAACAGCATTTCTATTACGTTTCCGGTCCTTATCAGCCATAATACAGCTTTAGTGCTACTGTAGATTACATGATGACCCTAAACCAGCATAGGAAAACATTTAATGCGCAATAGCTCAACGCGCACTGTCATTTATTTCCTGTCGTCTGCAGTCAGAATGGCTCACCAAAAGAAACTCGTCGAGTTTTTAAAGGAAAACTGATTCAATTAGCAAGGAAAAGTTAGTGTCTGATATTATCAACAATTTAATTGACAATGTAGCTAAAATCTGTATTAAGAAGAAACACGATGGTAATAGTGTCACTCACAAAACTATTTCCCGTGTTTGCATGTGGTTATAAGCCAGTGCAGACCAAAATAGCTTTGAAAAGCTGCTAAGTGTTATGTGTTTCTGTGAAAGTAATAAAGCCATGCAACCTGTGAAATACTCCTCCTTTATTTCCATTGGTATTTTACGCCTCAATTTTATCGAGTCAATAATTATCTGGAGCCCTGAGATCACTGAAATATGTGACGGCACTATTTGCTGGCAAAATGATATACTTGCATAAGGAAAAATTGAACAACTCATATGGAGATTTGCTGGACAAGTTTGTTTTGTTGTCTGCTATCACACTCAGCAATGATTCAGCTACACGATGAAGGCATGTGCGTAATCAAGTCAAGGTAGAACAACCCAGTGGCTGATATCATGAGCAACAATCCACAGTCAGGGTATGATGACACAATATCAGCCAAGTCACTTTGGCCACGTGACACCTACTGTACACAGTGACATAACATATATATGTCGATCCACTTTCAACCAAAACACTTGGTACTAGGGCTGGGATGGGTCCAAATTTTCTACCCAGGCAGCCCACCCTCTATTTCCCTACCTTAATACCCGTTATATTAATTCCTGACATCAAATTTGTAAGAAATGGCAATATATTCTTCAGATTGGTGGCTAAAATTTTGAGTTTTTCAATATCTTAACCATGTATTATATTCAAAACAGGTGACTGTAATTTATGTCTCAATCTTCAAAGACAATACAACATTTTAATCATGAAAGAATAACATTTTACATTGTTTAATCTATTAGTCACGTGATCATAACGGGTGCGGGTATTGAGACGGGTACCCGGGTCCAACTCATTATCCACCCGTCCCGAGTATCCAGGTTACCCGTCCCAGCCCTACTTGGTACATGAATTCACAATTACACATCATTTTTATCTTTTGTTACTGCAGGTGACACAGAATTTGCTTGAATGGCAGTCTGGTAGAATCAGTACAGGTTCAAACCATACAATATTTCTTGAGATATCTGTTCAAAGTAAGGTGTTTTGTTATAGGTTACTAACAACAAACATGGATAAATATTTGAGTATAGAGAGGTATGCAGGTGATGTCAAAGGTTTGATATCTTTAAACTGAAACAGCACCAACCTTATAGACTGATAAACTCTGTGATACCCTGGTCATATTAAGTGAATAGCACTGTTTATCTTTTGTAATTATTATGGATAACTAATAAGTAGTAGTACCAGTTAAAAATAAAAAAAGGATAACAAATGCCAAAAATATTTTCTGAACTGAAGAAATAAAACGCAAAATATAAAATTTAGAAAATTAAATAAATGGGTTTTTTTAAAAAGCGACACTTAAGCATGTACACTCTTCAACTGTGTAGGAGAAGCTAACATCAAACGTTTGACTTAACCTGGAGGGATGCAAGTATGCAAAGCAAACAGTGAGTATGGAGACAGAACTACAAGTGGAGGAGTGTACTGGCGTACTGGTGTACTGGTGTACTGGCCTCACCATTCAGCTTGGAGGAGTAGTAGGGGTTGCCAAGATTACCAGTCCCCTGACTGCTAGAACATGACATCCTGGGTTCATCGATCAACTTGTCCAGTGCAGAACTATAATACGGGTTGCCACCCTCCCCAGTGCCCTGACTGACATTGACGGATTTGACAGTCTCCACAACCACTGAGCTGTCTAAGTGGTCTGTGTAGTAACGGTTGCCCTTGCTCCCTGTCCGTTGGGTGCTACTGCTGTGTATCATTGGCTCTACACCTGTCTGGTCAAGCTGAGATGAATAATATGGATTGCCTAGGTCACCTGTTTCTCCAGATCTGGACCTAGACAGAAGTGGTTCGCCCACAAGTCTGTCCAGTTCGGAGCTGTAGTAGGGATTGCCCTCATCACCAGTGCTGTGTGCAAGCTTGGTAGCTGACATGGATTCTGTGATAACTGTCTGTCCAAACTTTGCTGTACAATATGGATTGCCTTTGTCTCCAGTACCTTGTATATTTGCAGCTTTCATCAGGGGTTCTACGCTGGACTGCTCTAACTGAGTCTTGTAATATGGATTGCCCTTGTTCCCAGTACCTTGAATGTCTACACTTGTCATCAGAGATTCCATCCCTGATTTCTCAAGCTCAGCCTCATGGTATGGATTGCCTTTATCACCTTGACCTTGAACATTTGAACTGGACATCAAAGGCTCCACACTGGACAAATCAAGCCCGGATTTATAATATGGATTGCCCTTTTCACCAGTACCATGTATAATTGTAGCTTCCACTTTCTCAGAGTCATTAAGATGCTGTCTGTAATATAGTGTTCCTTTGTCGCCGGTTCCTTGAACAGTCACAGAAGACATATGTTCCTCAACCTCCGATGTATCCAGAGCTTCCTTATAGTACGGATTTCCCATGTCCCCTGTTGACAGACCATACCTACTGGACTGTAAGGGCTCTACGCTAAGCAACTCAAGCTCAGCTTTGTAATAAGGATTGCCACTATCACCAGAAACCTGCTTGGTTGAGCTTGTCATCAGAGTTTCAACTAAACAGACCAGAGGGAATCATTGCAGTACATTACCATATCAGCCCACATGTACATATTAACCCTCCATAACAATCATTAAAGGTCTTACCATTACTCTTTCTTTCTTTCAGGTATTGGGAAATGGTTTCTGAACACAACACTTTCATTGTAAAAGAAGCTTAAGGAGAGGCAGGTGATGACAAAATGCTATGATTGAGTCATTTTGGCATTATGACCACAAAGTCATATTATCACTGGTCAACTTATTGGTGAACAAAACTACAACAAATTGGGATCTCAAAAACTTATATTAACTGTTTTGAAACTGTACCCTGACTTAAGCGAATGAATGAACTTGCCATGAGAATGACAGTGTTCATGAAGGCCTTTCCAAGGCATCACTATGGCTGTATATGGCAATCCTCGTTTAACCCCTCATGACCTTGACATATGTCAGTAAATAAATGATAGAAGAGAGTACCGAGCAATTTATCACAGGGAATCCATTGTTAACAAAAGGTGAAACAACAACAAATTCAATCAAAGTTAAAATTCTGAAATCAGATTAAGCTGCCTCATACAACAGGTCTGTGTTTTACCTACTCCAAAAGTAAATGTCACAAACTCACCCTCAATGTGCTTGGCTGACACATCCCCTTCAGTAGCTGCAGAGGCACCTTTTCCACCACCAGCTTTTCCATCATCGAACACTTTCTTAAACTGGTCAGCTATCTCCTTGTTCTTAAACTTGATAGCTAGTTGTTCCACCTTGCCCTCTCCCTCAGAGAAGTCCTTGGCATACCAAACCCATGACTTTCCATCACCTGAGCCCATTGGCTTGAGTTCCAGTTCAGGGGTAATCACATGATTGCAGCACACTTTGAAGATCTGTTCTCGCCTCATCAGAAGTCGGTAGCGGTGGGAAGTTTTGTGTTCCAGAATCTTCATAGTGCCAAGACCTCTCTCCTTCCACTCACCCTCACTGAACCTGAACAGGTAAAAGAAACAACAAGTGTATGATAGCTTCATAGTATGCCATACAAACATTTATTTATGAATAACCTTGACCCCTAGCATAAGACAAAGTCATAAATGATATATCCCTATCTCTGAGAAAAATCTTGAAATGTGTCATTATTTATATATTTATTATAAGACACTTTTATAGCGTAAATGTCCACACAACTCATACATGCTCAAGACGCTGTTTTATCCCCCTCGATCATTGGATGTCAATCTCAACGGCACATCATATTATCATTCTCAACTCCCTGGGGAGCATACAACTCTTGCAGCTAATAGGAGCACCAAGTTATTGCGTCTTTCCCATCCTTACAAGGTGGAATTGGGGGTACATCAAAACCAGCTCTTGAGCCATGGTCTATTTAAGTAAGATTTGTCTCCGTGTGTCCAACAATTCTGAGGAGCAGGATACAACACAGTAAGCAGAAGATGACTATCTCATTGTTATACACTGAAGATTTGTTGCTTGTTTCATGCATACTCAGCCATATTCCAGTCTGAACATGACTATGAAGTGACCATTGTTGTACACAACAATCGACACCATCATTTACCATGACAAACTATCACATAAGATTGATCACAAGATCCATTAAGTCGCCTAAGAACCTAACCTACTCAGGAATCCACAAAAGAGCTACACACCTGAAGAGTTTTGCCCTCTGTTCAAACCGGGTAACTTCCTCCTCTTCCCCAGTCTTCACATCCACTTTGTCAGGTAAAGACACAATAGGTTCAAAATAGATGTGGGAGTCCTCTCCTTCCTTATTGACATAGTAGTCCCCCTCTGGAGACTTGGGTGATGTCACAGTGGTCTTGGATTGAGGAGTCTTTGATGGGGTAAGGCTGAAGGTGAACTGAAATGGGGAGCCGATTTCTTTCTTTTCTTGGTTCTTGACTGGAGTTGAGACCTTTCCAAGATTGAACTGGAAGCCTCCATCCTTCTTGGCAGAATCAGCTGCAGAAGCAAAGTTGAATCCTGATGATTTGGGAGTAAAGGAAAACCCGGATGTAGCTGCTGAAGATGCTGCAGTTGTCTTAGGCTGAGGATCATTTGACTGTAGCATCTCTGCCAGGAGGCCTCCAGTGGTAGAATCTGCTGGCTCACTTTTAGCTGGTTTTGCTGGAGTGGATGGCTTGGGCGAGAAACTGAATCCATCACTATCAACACCATCCAGCTTGAATCCACCTCCTCCAAGACTAAATCCTCCGGGTCCTATTGTGGATGCACTTGACTTAAGTATGTTTTTGGCAGCCTCTCTACCCGGATCAACTGCAGTTTCCTTTGGAGAGTCTTTACTGGTAGGCTCAGCCTCTTGTGCTGGTTTTGAAGCAAATGAAAATCCACCACCTGATGATGCAGAACCAAAACTAAATCCTCCACCTTCTTGCTTCTTGCCAAGACTGAACCCTCCCCCTCCTGCTGCTCCACCAATCTGGAATCCTCCCTCACCAATTTTAAAGCCTCCACTGGAGATACCTGCCGCAGGTTTGGCTGTTTCTGCTTTCTTAACTTCCTCTTCAGCACCTGGCTTGATTGTATTGCATGCTGGACATTTCAGCTGCTCACCCTTGTTCACACAGTAGCATCCTTGACATTCCCAGCTTCCAGTTTTAGGCTTGAACATGTCTGCTAAAGACTTCTTTCCCTTAGGGTCCTCTTTTTTCTCAGCTACCTCACTGCTTCCTATAGCTTCAGGTATTGGTTTTACTGGTGAGTCTTCTAACATATTTTGGTATTTCTCAAAACATTCTTTGAATTGACAAGCCAGTTCTGGAGTCTTGAACTTGATGGCCAATTTTTCCATTTTCATTTCCTCCTCTGCAAAGTCCATTGCAGACCAACACCAAGCTCTGTCAGAGCTGGTCATTGGTGTCAGTTTCATGTCTTTTGTTATGTTGTGATTAGCACAAATCTTCAAAACTTGCTCACGTCTCATCAGAATTCGGTAACGTTTGGCAGCCTTATTGTACAGAATCTTTACCTCACCAATGCCCCTTTCCTTCCACTGATTGGTATCAGCATCAAACCTAAACAGCCTGGCCCTCTCCCCAAACAACTTCTCCTCATCTTCTTCCCCTGTCTTCATTTCCACTAAGTCTGGCAGATCAATAACTGGCTTAAAGTCCACATTGGGTTCATATTCCTCAACCCTTTCCTCATCTTCTCCCTTGCTTGGGGAGTCATGGGTTGTCTTTAATCCAGAGAATCCTGTTGCTGAAGTATTGGCAGCAAGATTAGAAAAACTAGGCATGGGGCTTCCAATGTTTTGTCCAAGAGTGAAAATAGAGCTAGCAGCTGAAGCAGATGAGGGTCCAACTGTAACTGGTGCTTGTTGAGTCATGGGTTTGGTTTGTGTAAAGGTAAACCCAGCAAAAGGCTTGGGCTGATTTGCTGCAACAGTTCCACTTTCAACTGGACTGGTTACCTTGAGGGAGCTTTCCTTCAGTTTGACTGTTGGTGATGCTTTTGACTTGTCTTCCGGAGTCTTTATCACTGGGGTACCACTGAATGTGAAGCCACCAAAAGATGGCTTTGGTGTTTCTCCAGACTGGACAGTCTTCTCCTCTCCTTGTTTGGCAGACAGGGCTGCAAGGGCAGCTGATGCAGGCATTCCTGTCTGAGCCTGGCCAAACACTGCAGGTGAAGATCCAGTAGGGGTCTGTGTCGTAGTAGGTTTAAAGGCCTGAGACCCTGATATGGTGAATGGTGATGGAGTTGCCACAGCTGGTTTTGGAGGTGAAGCTTCAGACTTCTTGCCAGCTTCCTGGATTTTCTGAAGAACTGACTTCAATTTCTGAGCTAGTTCAGCATTATCAAAATTCAGGTTAACAGTCTCCTCTCCCTTCCCGTCATGCTGGGGTCTCTTCCATGTGACTAGCGTTGGGGTGAAGGATGCCACCAGCTTCAGTGTATTGATATCATGGTTGAGAATAATCTGGTTTGTTGATAGAGTCTCCATCCTCACCCGACCACCCTTCTCGGCACCGAAGAAAAACACTTTGACATTTCCTTCCTGCTTGGCACCAATCTTCGATGTGTAGGTTGCTTTTCCTTGGAAAATGCAAACAACTTCAGCAGTGGACGCACTGGGGGAAATGGTTGATGTCACAGCCCTGTTAACAAGATTCTGAGCCTGCGCTTGTGGTATCTGACTAAAAGGTTGAGGTGGAGTAGGGACTGCCTGAGAACTAGTCCCCTTGGTAAGAGGTGTTGAAGCAGTCTTAACACCAGCCCCGAAGTTTCCTGATGTGAAGATTGGCTTCTGAGCCATCTGTGATGCAAGGGTTGTAGCAGGCTGAGGCTGAGGTTGAGGTTGAGGTTGAGGTTGATGCTGAGGTGGGAGGCTGGGGCTGTGGTGCTGCTGGCTGGCCCAGATACTGAGGAATAGCTTGAGCAGCAGGACTTGGTACTCCTGACTGAATCTGTGCAGGTATTCCTCCTATGTTGTGAGGAGAATCCTTGCCCATGATGGCAGCATATAAGGAAGGTGTCTGGTTCATTGCAGATGCTGTAGTAAGGCCATGGGGTGAGGAAAAGTATCCTGGACCTGGCATCGATGTAGCTATGTTAGATTGACCATACTGTATCGACTGTCCCCTCAGAGATGAGGCAAAGAAGCCACTTTGAGGCATCGGAGGTCTGTTCTGGGGTGCATAGGTTACTGTGGAACTTCCCTCAATGCCCGCCCTGTTTCCATACGGCCATTCAAGATGTGAGTCTGGCACATAATACTGCCCATGAGGGTGGGCTAAACTTTCCTCAAAGAACTCTCCATCGATGAAGTAAGGATTTTCATCATCATCATCCCCTTCAACAACATTGGACTCATCCTTGCCTATGAAGCCAGTGTGTCCCATGAGATTGGTCCTACTGCGTGAACGAGGGGATGGAGGTCTGTAGCCAGGTAAGCCTGCTGGACTAGGCATCTGGTATCCAAACTGAGGTGGACCCATTCCTTGAGGAGGGGGGTATTGAGGATTCAGTGCTAGTGCATATCACAAGTGCCACCAGATTCTAATCCCGAGGCAAAGAAGCGAAAAACCTAAAAGCATACTAACCAAGGCAAACTTCGACGAGTATAAAGCTTCAGTTAAGAAATTCTGAGCTCAGAGCTAAATGCTCAAACAAAGGTCAAGGCCACCACTTTCTTTTGCTGTGCCAGTCCTTTCCTATTCCTTTGAGTAGTTGATTGGACAAAACATCCAGAATCTTGACCGCCTGACCAGAAGGATCATGTCTGATAACAGAGGCCTAACACCCTCATAATCGTTTACATATTCCAATCAATTCTGAGATTCTGATTTATTTATCGGATGATCCTCTGGTGATGAATGTCACGACTCATGATAAAAAGCAAGGGAATTCCACAGCCATTGTAAGCATGCCAAATTTGAGGTTGATTGTGTTGATGGTGATGTACTGCTGGATCGGTACAGCGACGGGGAGTAAACCAGGTGAAAGTCCGGCACTTAAGTCTGTCCAGAGTCGGTCAGTTGTGGAGAAGCTTGAGAAGCCATTGCATCATGTGTACATGCAGTGTGGAACAGAATAGCAATCTTTACCGACTCCTTCAGCCTGGATGAAGTCGGCTGGTCTTAAATGTGAGTCTGAGGGCTTTCTTTTGCTACCAGTGACCAGTCACTTCCCACTCGCCAAAATTTACAAAAATTCTAAAAGAAAATATCAATATGAAATGTCGACCTTTGTAATGCAGTTACAGAGACTGTCCAACACCTTGTCAGTGGATGCCCTTCTTTGGCACAAACTGCAAATCTTAAAACGACATGATGGCATGACTCGTTGCTTCTACTGCCGTCGCTTTATACCATGTGGCTTTGAACTGTGGCCCATCCATGGTACGACCCTCAACATGTCCAGGGCGTCATGTGAAAATGATGCTTTTAAATTTCGGGTGAATAGGCCCATATATAGCCTCAGAAGAATTCCAGCAAACAAACCTGATCTTGTCCTTTTTGAAAAGCCAATGAATCATTGAATTTTCTGTCCCTTTGACAGCAACATGATTGACAAGATTCAGGAAAGCATGACTATGCAACCTCGTCTTTGAAATGTTTCGCTTGCATCCAAAGTACATTGTTGTCAGGCTCCACATTGTTCTCGGTGCCCTTGGTTTGGTAAGATCTCTTGGCGCAGATCAGGAGAGTGCCCGGTTCTCTAACCGGGGAGCAATAAGCCCATCTGACACTCTGGTTAATGCAGAAGGCTGCAGTGTTGGGGAGCCTTCTATATTTTCTCGGAAAGTTCTTGGTGGGTTCAACTAGACATCCTAATCTGTAAAAAAATAATTATTAGTGCATTTGTTAAGCGTTATTTTCCATCCGTCGTGGTTGCTCAAAGCGCAGACAATCTGATTACAAATGTATTAATACCACGGATAACCCTAAGCTGCTCTGTTAATAGTCTCATCGACTTATTTCATACAGGGTACCCATTTTCTGCTGGGTGAACAGAGGCAATTTTGAACAACTCGCTGACCTGGTTTACGAGATTGCTTACATCGATACTCATGCTGTTGATCACTGGGTTGTCTGGTCCAGACTTGATTTTTTACAGACCGCCCAGTCATACACTGACTGGACTTTGACTGAGTTTAGTTTTACCAGCTTTAGCAATTTTCCAGCAATAACGGCGGGGGACACCAGAATGGGCTTACCACATTGTGCCCATGTGGGGAATCGAACCAGGCCTTTCGGCGTAACGAGCCAACGCTTTAACCACTAGGCTACACCCCACCCCCACCCACCCCACTCCACCCCGCCCGCAGTCATACAACTGGAATATTGCTGAGAGTGGCGTTTTACAACAAACCAAAATATTATTTCAAGTGAAGTTCTTTTAAGGTTGATTACTTAACAATACAGAGGTTTACCTGATCTGATACGATTGGTCAATAATCCTCCGAAAGAAGAAATTTGTTGCTGCAACCCATGGAGGCCGTCTCTGGAGAAAGTGATGGAATACTCCTGACCGGCTGACTCGAGGAATTTCAGATTCGGAAGCAACCATAATTCTTTTGTCAATTATGTCCTTCATCGCAAAATGTTCAACAGGATTTGGGGAAAAGTGTCGTTTTTTAATAAATTCAAGGTTCATTGTCAGCTTGTCAACTTCTTGCTCCTGTAAGAGTAACTTTTAGTTGGTGATCACTTCTCTGTGTGAGGAACTTGGGTGGATTCGTTGATCTTTTGTCTTTAACTCTATTTCCCTCTGGTCCAACATCAGGTGCAAATTCTGGAAGGTACATCTGATGACCTCTTCAACAGCATCTTGTTGTGGCTTCCAGTCTTTCACCAATATCTTCCTGAGTGATCAAGCATCCTTCATCCTGGGTCCAACCTTGCTCTCAATGCAGCTCCTTTGTCTTCAAGGAAAGTTCGACGTGTTTCCCCAAAGCTGCGTCTAGGTCCTCTGTCTTGCAGCTCTTGTGTTCGGCCAGAACACACATGGCACAAAGAGGAGCATTACAGCTGGAAATCATAGAGGGTGACAGGATGTTGTGTATGCTGGTCACAGTAAGACATACATTTCAAAGTTTGTGGAAAATTTGTCAAATCCTGCACGAGTATCGCCTTGTGTTTCTGTGTGGCTTTTTATGTCCCCGTGTGCCACCTGACAATGTTCGCAGAGAGAAATGCTTCACACTCTTGACACCAAGACATTGCCTGGTTGCCATCTTCTCTGCTGGTACACAGCAGTTCATTGCTATTATGTACAATCTCGTGGAGAGAAAGGGTCTTCTTCTTTCTGGTTACACAGAATCAATTGGGAAGGAAGATTTGGGGAACGTTTCCTGGCATGGACTACAGAGAAGCGTCTTGTCATTTTCGGATTTTAGACAGTTTTACAGACCGAATGCAAACACGGAAACAGAAACGGACCCTCAGTGTCATGACGTATGGCTTTTTGACACACTGCGCAACCGGGAATGATTTCTTTAGCAACCATTGAAGGAATAGATATGGTGTTGGAGAACGTTTCTGTCAGCTGTTGTTCCCTTTATGGACTGGTGCCTTTGCCTTGGGAATAAAAGATGCAAATAAAACATTTTTTTGCATGGTAACAACGGAAATTAAACGAATATCTAATGGAATGAACCAGGATAAAAATCGGTAGGCTTCTTTGATCATCTCTTATAATGCACCCTCCCACCTCCACACAGATACATGTGATAGGTCAAAATCCGAAACACTCCAGACCACCTAAATGTATAGACTATTAGTTGAAGTGACTCTCTTTATCGTCAAATTCATATATTTGAAAAATAATTGTATTTAATCTTCGATCAAAAGGTGTTATATATATATCAAGATTTTGGGAACATGTCGCTATAGTTTCTATGCATTATGTATTATCAAAATAATTCATGCTTGCATGCCTTCATTTGTATTAGCTACTGATCGAGACACCATGTTTATCGGATTTAGTTGTCCAGTCGATAACATTATTGATTATATGATCAGTGGAGGTATCCATAGTACGAGATAGAAGGTGTGTCTTTTCAGGATTACATAGCAGATATCTGTACTATCGGGATCTTAATTTATGGTAATGCTATAAAAATTTAAACTAATAAATATGGTAACTGACGAAAACACTACAGAACTTAAATCCAAAACAGGATGTCTTCCACAGTCAGTGTGGTTTAAGTTCCAGAAGACAGGTGATAACATGACACGCTCCATAAACTTTCGACTTCTTTTGCGAAAATTCAATTAAATTGAAACAGGAAATGAAATTATATCAAAATAATATTGTGACTTAAATACCACACCGCATATGCTCTAAGCGCATACGGCATACCCCATGATATACACCCATTTGTATAACATATATGAGAAATATACTCCGCTTTACCACCCAAGAGTTAAACTGTTGAGTTTGTCCAAAATTCATCACGCAGTGTGTTGACCCACACATTGAGACCCTCATTGACGGTTATGTCATCGTGATCTGGGTAAATATTTCTATGCATGTTGGTCCCGGCGGGTGTTATAATTTCATACACTTTTCACTGTATGTAACATTTACATTACCTCATAAACAGGCACATTCACAAACAGGAAACTCAATATAAATTCAACACAAACATACTCGAAGCAGAGCCTGATGGTTTTGCACACAGGTGCGTGTTTCTTTGGCGATGGAACCGCCATTGATGTTTCTTGGAGTGTACGGAAAAGTATCATGTACTTTGATCGATGAAGGAGAAAGATTTTCGAAATAAAACAAAATCGAGGGTAGTAATAAATTTTCTGTCCCACTCCTTCCTCGGCTTTTGACTCCTCGTCTGTTAGTCGGTATTATGTAAGTAATATTTAGATTTCATTACTTCTTACTTGTTCCTGTAACTCTCCATCATGCTGTTACCACGATTGGATTTTCTATTTCATTTCCGGACATAAACACCGTCTGTGTTATCTTGCTCCCTGTGGTACACACCTGTTCAGACCAAAGACATCTGGTTCGTGAAATCGATTCTGCAAGCAAATGGCTCGCCAGATAACGGGGTATCAACTATTATCTATGTTAACAAAACCATGTCACCTAATTCCCAAAGAATCTGTGACAGCGATCAAGCTGCGTTGAACTGAGTAGGTCTATTATAGGTGTGTGACAGATGGGTTATGCGACAGCCAATCGCCAACATCACCCCGTGCGGATCTCCCCAATATCACTGACTTTACAAGTGCTACTGGCGTATGTAACGGTTCCACTCGGTAAGGCAGGACATGTCTACCCTTTCGCAAAATACCTGTGGTTTTCCCTGAACTCATCCATTTGCATTATTTTACCACCATTGCCTCCAAAGTAATCTATTTCTGTTAAATAACTGACACGAGTTCAGAGTGAAGCAAAAGACGAAAGGTTTCATTATTAAGAATGGCGTTTACAAAATTAACTAGGTTTACAAACATTTCCAAAGGTCAGTACCATTAGTTTTTCAGAACCGAA